AAAAAAAGAAAAAAAAAAAGAAAAATAGGAGCCATTATAAAATGGGAAAAATTTTGTGAGCCTTTTTCCCGTGTTCTACGAGTTTGTCGCGACGATAAAATTTTTTAGGACACAGTATACAATGATGTTTGGGTTCCTCCATATGTATTTTCATATGGGCCGACAAATTGTGTTTATATTTGAACCATCCTTGACAAATGTGACACTGATATTGTGGTTTTTGTCCGCATTCAACGCGCAAATGACGTTTCAGACATGAAGTTCTCATATAATAACGATCACAATTAGGACATTTATAACTCGACTGACCGCGTCCTAATCTGTAGGGTTGATAATTACTCGTTCTTTGATTTCCAACTATGTTAGTTGATCCAATGGTCATCAATTGTCCTTGACCAATGAAAGTAGTAGTCGCGTTGTTCATCGTTGGTTCAGCGTACATCTGGGTCCAGTAACCTGGAATTAAAGCGTAATAGATAAAGTACAAGTTCACGTTTATTCGATTTTTTTCTTTTTTTATTCGTCAAACAAAACTTCATCTAATTATTATTATTATTATTATTATTTGTTATAATTATGTTATATATTTTGTTTAAATAGCTAAAATAGGATTGTAAAGGTGGACGTTAGGAAACGTATATATTTATTTATAGGATTCGTAAAAAATGATATACTTTAAGGATTTTTATTTTTTTTTTTTTTTCAAATCATGACTCCGAACAACCCCAACCCCTCTTCCTTGTGAGGGTTGTTGATCGTGTGATATTTTCAAAACGAAACAAATTTTAATCAACGATATTGAATTTTATCCATGAAGTCTTTCCTATCATAGGTCTACATTTTTCCTCTCTATGTGGTTTCTATTTTATTACAATTTGAAACACCACACACACACACACACAATGAAATATATAATTGCATTTCGATTATGTTTTTGTTTGAATAATAAGACGACCTGTATCATGTTCAAATGTTGTTCCAAATGTTTCAAATCCTCTTCTGAAGTTGAATCAAAGATTTTTGATAAAAAATAGCTCAGGAACATAACTGAAATAAAAAGAAAAAAAAAACGTATGAGAATTTTATTAATAATAAATGTTATCTGTCTCATGAACAAATTGTCGTCCAAAGAAAAAAAAAAAAAAAAAAGAAAAACAAAAAATTGTCTTGTTTATTTAACAAATAACAATTTTCTTTTCCTGCGTTATTCTTCCTCTTCATTTTCTATTTTGTATCCTCTTGACAATCCCCAAAACTCGTGTCGTTAATTTTTATTGATAAAAGAACGATGAGGTTGGTGGAAGGAGGGGAAGGTGGTTGGGAAAAGAGGAATTTATCGAAAATAATCGACGGATTTAAAGTAAATAAATAAACGTACGCACATGATCGATTTCGTATAAATTACTTTTTTTTTTCTTAAATCCTTTTTTTTTTGTTTCCTCTTTTAATAATAACCCGCAACAATGATTATTCTTTTTCGTATTTGCGTGTACGTGTCTTTTTTCTATGTATGTATGTATGTTTATATGTATGTATGTATGTATATATATTTTTTGTTTTAATAATATTAATAATAATAATAATAATAATAATAATAATAATAA